CTTGGAACCTCATCAAGAGCCACCATTTTAAATACAAATAAATGTTTGTGGCAAACTGAAAAATGTATACAGTCAGTCCTCATTTAGCAACTACCTTATTTAACAACCATCTGCAGTTATGATGGTGACAAAAAAGTAATTTTATGATCAATCCTCACATTTGCAACCTTCCCAGTCATTAGAACAAAGGAAAAACATACTCATGATTTCCCTTAGTGACTTCAGTTGTCACTGCCAATTGTGGTCACTAAACAAGGACTACCTGTATTGTAATTCATTATCAATCTCTGTCTAGGCGATATTTTAAGATTATTAAGGTTGTTAAAGTTATTCTTGCTTCACTTGAAACTGATGCTTTGGTGTAAATAGCTTTATGTTTCTGAATTGTGTACAGTATACAAAATTGTGATTACTACTGTATATTTGGAATTAACTTTTTCACAGCTTCTGCAAACTCAGTAACTACTAAACAAGTACATAAACACAATGCTGAGGATTCTATGGATAGTCCCTCTATTTAAAGATTCTTTAATGGGGATCATTACATGACTTATTTTTATCAGCCGTATTAAAAATCATATTTAAACCACACAGAGGAAATCAAATCAGCTGACATAATTATACCATTTATGAAAACAAACACAAGATCGAAGAGCTGAAAACACACAGAAATGCATTCTAACAATATAACATTTTTTAAAAAGAAAAAAGAAAGAAAAAACACGGGGAAAAGAAAAGCATGATTTTGTAGCTGTTTTTAAAAAAATACAATGAAAATTGTACAGAGCCACCAAAAAGAGACAAGCGTAAGGAGAGAGAAAGAAGGAGAGAAAGAATGAAAGAGATACAGAGAGAGAGAGAAATAGAAAGACAGAAAAATAACATTTAATCAAACTACGGTGCTTTTCAACAGGCTGATCTGTAGAAGTGAACGTGCGGAGGGAGAAAAATACCTACCTTCTGTTTGATCAGGAATGCAATAATAAAAAAAGAAACAATAATCTCCACATTTGGAGGGCAAAATGGGAAAAAGACAATGACTCTTTAGTAATGCACTTCAGACCCCTTTGCTTTGCTCTGAGTTTTCTTTTGACTCAGCTTTTCTTTTTTCTTTTTGATCCATCAAGGTAAACATATGTTTTGCTATCTATATATCGGCATATTTATCAATTGTCTAAAAAGCACAGCCATTGGGAAATAAAATTTTAAAAAGTTACTATGTAACATTTAAAAATTTTAAAGTAAACAAAAAGTCCCAACAGCATGCAAGAAAAGCAGAAAATGAAAGCAGAAAATGTCAAGATTTAAGGTTTTCTTTGTAATGGGGAATAGGCCAAAAGTGACTTCCCTCAAAAGATGGAGGCATTATATAAGGTGACCATGAGGGAAAGATATAAGGGGGGAGGAGAGGGGGAGGCACAGTGAGAAATGGGAGGGTAGTGTATGGACCGAAAGAGTTGTAAAGGAGGCCCACAAGTGTAAAAAGTTGACATGAACATTGAAAGAATCTCTTTATAAGGGAAGTCAGTGTCTCTTTGAGTTTAATAGAGTTTTAGTCCTGTATCTACCTCTCAAGGTGTTTTAATTGGTTTTGCAGAGAGAATTCGATGATTTGGGGATAGGTGAGGATACTGCTGATTTTATTTTATAAAATCTTTATGAAAACCTACCAAAGATATCAGCTCAGAGAAGTTGGTATTGTACCAAGGATGGATAAAGGATGGCACTTGTATCATAATACGGGGGGCAGGGGGTGCGGGAATTTTCCTCACCTACCTCCACCCTTTTCTACCTATGGCTACAGTCCATCCTAACTCCTATTCTCCAGTAGCTGGTGTTTGGAATTATACTGAATGTGGAGGTAGTAATTCAGGGCACAGGCAGCTTGCAATCTTTAATGTTGTGTTGTGGGTTACATTTTATAAAGTGGGTGGAGCTAGGATAAAGAGAGGACTGGGCAGAACAAAAACTAAGTTTGATTTTGCTTAATGTTACCTTAATAAAAATTAAATTCAACATTGTTATTATGATTGTTTGGAATATCAGTATATGTCTCTCTGGTTTAGGGGCAAAAGAATTCCTAATTTGTGTCTCTAAAACCAGAGATCAGGATAGGGAATCTTATAATTAGCCTAATGATCAGGTGAAGGAAGATAATCCGGATTCTGATTTTTCCTGATAATTTTATTAAAATATATTTGGATTCAAAAGTTTTTGATTTTCTTCTAACTTTTTCAAATCTGCCTTTTATCTTAAAAGAATCTCTGGAACAGCTTAACAGATCTTTCCATTTGGCAAAAGTTACAATTTAAGTAAAGTTTAATTGAACATATGTGTTTTAACAATGTATGTAATTGTCTTCCCTTTTAAACATGAAATCTAAGGGACCAAAATGATTAAGAGTCATAAATAAGTAAAGAAAGATATCTGTGAATTTCTTAATTGGCTGGAGGGTTCTAGAGTAACATACATGCATGTGTATATATACACACACACACACATTTCTAGATTCATATATACATATATGTATATGTATGTATGTATGTATATATATATATATATATATATATATATATATATATATATATATGACAATAGAGAAAAAAGAAAAAGCTAACGGTTTGCATTTCTGTACATTACAAAGTGGCAGAAATCAGAATGAAATAAAAGTCCCTCTAGTCCCCTTTCCTGTTTCTACTGAGCAAGAAATCAAGCTTTATAATGTCACATTTCAGATTGGGGGCTAAAAAAAAGCAGTGTTTCAGATAAAAAATAAAAACAAAGACTTTTAGAAAGTCATTGGCCACTGATGTTTAAAACAGGAAAATATGAAGCAGGACAAGAAGGGCTTTGTTTTGGAATCTTTAAAACTAGTTTTTTTTTATAAAAAAAACTCTTTTAAATAAACATTTCCCAAATTTCAGAGATGTGAAGCATATTAATAGATTACATATTAGGATTTAAGCCAGTTTCACTAACTTGGATTCATCCTGATATTTATTGGTTATTTCTTCTGAAATTAAGCCATTATCTTGGATCTCTGCATTAATAGTTAATTGATTGCCCAATCGCAGCTGATATTGGAGGAAAAAAATAGCTGGTCCAATGAAACCGATGCTGGAATAGGGATTCAGGCAGATAGTAAAATCAGGTGGCCCCTATTGAGGTTTCAAAGCCCATTTTGTTCTCTAACTGATCCAAATCTCAGGGCATACAAGTCACACTATGCTTTAAAGCATTATTTTAAAAGCAAAGAGCATAAAATTGAAACGAGTAATGGAATAAATACAGTACTTTGTGTTTATGTGTACATGCATGTATGTTTTGTATATGGAAAGAAGAAAAATAAAAATGATAAGAATAACAACAAGCAAATGTGTCAGAAAGTGGATGTGATATATCTGAGACACAAAATGGGGGTAAGGTTTATGATCAAGAAAAAAGAATGGGTAAGCTGAGGAGAAATAGAGAGCCCTATTGAATTCTCTATGAAGATGACTTGCAGGGGCTTGCATTAATAAACCATTAACAATTAGGAGGATCAGGAACTCTGTTTTTAGGTAATGGATTCCATGCTGGAGCATGATGCACCAGTGGTTTTGATCAGCCCAAAGCCTGAACATCCCTCAGCCAGAAATGAGGTCTCAGTACATATGGCTCAATACAGCTAAATGCCTCTTGAAGAGACAGGCAACAGAAAATCATGTCATGCCTGACTCTGTCCCTAAGGTCAGAACCTCAGCTTTTTCAAATAGAACAGTAGTGCAATCCAATGCAACAATCTCATTAGCCAGAGTTGGGTCAAAACAAGTTTTCAAGTAAGAGATTGACAATGAATAAGCAGCTTTTCATCCAAAATTTGAGCTAAGACATCTGAGGGGACACATATATTTGCCTTCATTTGTAAGGCATCTGAGATCAACTGAGCTAAGACTTGTTCCAAGTGCTCTGTGTCATCCTGAAAATGTGATGGCCTTTCCTTCCATCTCTATGGTGCCTGAAATTTTACTGCCGGTTCACTTCAACACTGGATCACTTCAGTAATCAATCACTCATTGAGTTCTGCCATGAAACACATTAGCTGATTCTGGGCCTGTTATTGCCTCCCAATCTAATTTATATCAAAGGCTTCCTGAGAATATAATACGTTTGCATGTATGCAAACTGTGTCTTCTGTCATAAGATTCTTTGCAGAAAGCAAATAGCTGGGAATCTGTTGGCCACTGATCATATTAGATAGGGTTGGTGGGATTAGAATTCAACAATAGTTGAAAGGCTACAGATTTTCTATTCCTGTGGCAGATTATTTTCTTTTCCCTCAGAATGACAGATATGTTACAATATAAGGAATGAACAACCAGCAATGCCATTAATAGAGACAAACAAGATTTTTATATTTATTAATATTCTTTCAAGTGATTTGTATATCCTCTTTCCATTACATATTTCCAATTGTTGAAGAATTTTAAAAAAATAAAGCATAACTGAAAAACATCACGTTTCTTGTAACCATCTTTTGCAAAATTGGTTTTCAAAGTTTTCAGAGCATTTATGAGATATTTGGACCAGAGGCGACCATGAAGATGAAAAATAAAAGTGGATACTACTTGACTATCAATGGTTTTATAATAGTCCTTTGAATTTTTTGATGTGAGACAAGAGCAAATTTATTACTTATTTCCAATTATGTCTGGGTTGGGTTTAGATGATATTCTTATGACAATGTAGGAGAAGGAGTAGCAGAACCTGTGGGTGGAGTTAAAAGAGAGATCTGCGTAGAATCCCTACATAACCACAAATGAACTAAGTCCATCCTCCTTTGAATTCCATTGATTTGAGAAGATTAATGTCAGAGGCAAAAGATTAGGTCCACTTTTGGTTAATGACTGAAATGGAAGTTATTTGAATTTGAGATTAGGTCCACCTATGAAGATCCAATTAAGCTGATTTATTGCTAATCACACTAATGCATAAGAATCTTTTCAATTAATGATTAACACCTGCTTGGGGTTAGATAAGAAACAACGGAATTATGAGGAGAAGGGAGGAGCCTGCGCCGTGGCGATACGGTCTGCAATCGAGCTCCTCGATTGCAGCCGATATCTCCGCTACCGGCCGGTCCAATGGACCTACGCTGTCCCGTAGGGGTAGCCATCGTGAAGAGCGTACCCTGAGGACTCCGGGGATACCGCAAAATCCCTGGAGAGCCCGGGTGAAGCTCTTCTTGCCAGCGGCGGAGAGGCAGCCCCCATGCTGCTGAAGCCGGGGCGGCTCCAGAAAGAATGAGTTTGAGAAAGAGTTCGTCGGTTGGGTGAGAACCTTTTTTTTTCTTTATTTAACTTTTTGAGTCTTGAAAGTTCACTCTGACTACTTGAAGAAACCTGTGTGATTTTTTTTTTCTTTTGACAAAACTGATTAAGCGGCGTTTTTTTAAGGGAAACGTCAAAGAGAGAATCCATTTACTTTTTTTTTTTTCTTTGCTTCCGGACTTTATTGTTATTTACTGGATAACTGGACTGTTTCTTTTTATATTTATATGTTTTACTCTTCTTCTGGATTTTTCATTTTTAGGCTAGAGGTTCCCTTTGATTTTGTTTTTTTTGCTTTTGTGTATTCCATATCGGCTTTTCCCTTTCCCCCCCTTTTTTTTATGCTCTTTTGAGAGGAGGGGGGAAAGTGAGAACTAAGAAACTTTGTAACACTGCCATCTAGAGGCTTGGAAACATTTTACTTGAACTGGAAAAAACAAACTCTTCTTCTCAAGGACACCCTCTGATAAGATAGAGGAAAGCACTTTGTTGAATATTATTACAGGTGTCTTTCTGGATATTTATGGCTTAGCTTTGAAGCTTGTGGGAAAGAGAAGGGAGTTATAATTAGAGCCTTGGACAATTAAATAGAGTGCAGTGTATTGTTGCTTATTCCCTTTTTTTAATTCTTTCTTTTTAGTTCCGCCACCCCCTCCACTAACATCAAGGTCTTTATTTTTAAGTTTGATTTATTTGCAAAGGGAAGCCTCTGAATTTTTCTTTTCTTTTTATTTTATTTTGATTTATTTTGCTTTATTTTTTCTCCTTTCTATTTGGATCCTGTTGTTTTTTTTAATGTACATCAGTGGACTATTTCTTTTTCCTTTTTTCAATTGAGGTTTTTTTTTTTTTTGGCTGGACTAAGGTGTGGAATTTGAAGAAATTTATTTTTCTTGGTTTTTGCTTTGTTTTTTCTCTCTTTTTCTCTTTTCCTTTTTCTTTTTTGGCTTTGTCTTGTTCATTATTATTATTACTGGGTTTTTATTCTTATTTTTACTCTCTTTTATGGATTATTTTTCTTAATTGGATTAAGGTCAGGAAGAATTTGAAGAATTTTTCTTCTTTTTCTCTCATTATTGGCTTTTTTATTGTTGGCCCTTTTATCTTGGATTATAACTTCATACTCTTTTTGGATTAAAATTTGAAAGAATTTGAAGAGCTGGAACCACCTAAAATGAGTAAGAAACTTATATCTTCGGGTGCCTCTATGTCTGCTTCTGCCTCCCCACCATCTGGACAGCGCTCAATTCAGACATTGTTAAAGCAAGATAAAGAAAAAGAACAAGAAAGAGTATCCTTTCAGATGATTATGCAAGGAATTCAAGATCTTAAGGTAAAAATAGATACTATTGAACAAAGAACAGGTAGGACGGAGGAAAAAGTGGAAAGTATCCAACAGATGATGGTAAAATATGAGGAGAGACTTCAAAAAGTTGAAGAGGGGGGCAAACGAAGAGAGGAGAAGATTGGAAATATTGATAATAGATTAACAGTGATTGAACAAGAAAAAAGTGAAATGTTGAAGTGGGAGTTGGATAGATCAGAATTTTATCTCAGATTTCAAAATATAGAAGAAGAAAAAGGACAAGATTTGGCTGCAATAATGGTAGGAATCTTGGCGGATGCGCTGGAGATAACAGAAGAGAAGCTGATGGATGGAATAGATGAGATATATTGAGTTTTTACAAGATATGCGATGAGAAATAACCTACCCAGAGAAGTTCATATTAGATTTATTAAAAAATCTATGAAGACACAAGTATTACAAGTGGCAAGAGAGAAGACATTGAAATACAAAGGTAAAGAAATTTTGGTTTTAAAACAAATACCTAGAAGAGTGAGAGAGATGAGAAGAGAATATCGATTCCTGACCAAAAGGTTATTGGAAAAAGAGGTGTCTTACAGATGGTTGATCCCAGAAGGATTGATGTTTACGTGGCAGGAACAGAGACATAGAATTGATTCAATTGAGAAAGCAGAACTGTTTTATGCAGAAGTTTTTGGAGGGAGAGAAGGAGGGGCAGTAAAGGAGGTTCCACCAATTGAATTCCAAGAGGAACAAATGGAGATTGGAAAAGAAGAAGGTGCAGTAGGTGGACAAGTGGATATTAAAGATCAACGTGAAGCAAGACCCACGAGAGTGGTTAAATCTAAATATAAAACATAATCATGGAAGAGAAAAAACTGATTACAATGAATATAAATGGACTGAATTCAGCTGCTAAGAGAAGGAAGATTTTCCATAAATTAATGAAACTAAAGTTTGACATAATTTGCTTACAAGAAGTTCATATTAAAAAGCAACATGAACAATTGTTATTACAACCAAAATTAGGGAAATTGTATACCTCTTTGACACAATCCAAGAAAAGAGGGGTGGTTTTATATATTAAAGAGGCCATTCCAGCAAAAATGATTTATACAGATGATGATGGGAGAATATTAATGGTAGAAATAATGGACAATAATAGAAAGATACTTTTGACTGCAATTTATGCCCCGAATGATAAACAGGAAGAATTCTATAAAAAACTACATACTAAGATGGCTGAACTAGATTATGCTAATACAATTATGATGGGAGACTTTAATGGAATTGTGGATAATAAACTTGATTATATTGCAACAGCAGTAAAGCATAATAGAAAAACTCTTCCTAAATCCTTTTTTAAAATGATAGATGAATTAACTTTAAAAGACATATGGAGAGAAAGAAATAATAAACTTAAGCAATTTACGTTTTATTCAAATAGGCATCTATCATGGTCCAGACTGGATATGATTTGGATCTCAACAGATTTAATGTCTAGTATTCAAGAAGTAAATATTGAAACAAGTACTTGGGCTGACCACAACCCATTGACAATTAAATGGAAGGGACAAAGGAAAAGATCGAGATGGACATTAAATAATACTATTTTAAAGGATAAGGAATTTATGCAATGGATGGAGAAAGAATTGCCCTTTTTCTTTAAAGAGAATAGAAAAGAAGACACTTCAATACAGAATGTTTGGGACACAATGAAGGCTTATGCTAGAGGCTTGATAATAGACTATACAAGAAAAAAGAATATTAGGAAAAGGCAAACTCTTAAGCCTTGGATGATGAATATAAAAGACTTGAAAAAGAATTACAGAAAATACCACACAGAAAAGATGTCAAACTGAAACTGGATATAACTAAACATAAAATGGACTTAATAGAGAAAGAAGAACTGGCACAGAAAATTAGGAATGCTAAACAGAATTATTTTGAGGATGCAAATAAGCCAGGTAGATGACTAGCATACAAACTGAGAAAGGAGAAAGAATCGAGGAAAATACTGCAGTTAATAGATGACCAAGGTAAAACTTGTCATGGCAGTAAAGAGAAAAAAGAAATTATTTATGATTTTTACAAACATTTGTATAAGAAAGAAGATATTGATGAGGAGAAAGTTAAACAATACCTGCAGAATGTAAATCTACCTAAGATACCTAAAGAGATTGAAGAAATGCTAGAAAGCAATATAACAATGATGGAGTTAAGCCAAGCACTTAAGAAACAAAATAATGGAAAGGCACCAGGTCCAGATGGATTTCCTGTAGAATTTTATAAAACCTTTCAAGAATTATTGTGTATTCCACTGTTAGAAGTTATGAATGAAGTTATGGTAAAAAAGATAATTCCTAAAACATGGTCAGAGGCTTGTATTACACTTATTCCAAAAGAGGAGGCGGATCTACTTCAAATCAAGAATTATAGACCGATTTCCTTATTAAATGCAGATTATAAA